TCCTCATCAGACAAAAAATTACAACCGAGAATTTCTTTGTTCCTCTGCAACCGGACAAGACACGTCCGTCATCCCCCCCCTCAACTAACCTACGCCCTTTTTAAAGTCCTTACCCTACGCCTAACATCTTAACCTACGCATCTTCCCTTCCCTTAAGACCTAGGGTTGTTCTCTCTCTCTCTCTCTCTCTCTCTCTCTCCCGATCTAATAAACACCCCATTTCGTCGTTTAATCCCCTAAAGCCCGCTCCTTTTTTTCCAAGTAACAGTGACCCACGAATCGTACGGTCTGTGTTTTTTTTCCGAGAAATGTTGAATGCCAGGTTCATTGATGAATCTGTTGTCTCTCTGTTTCAAGCCATTCGGGCAAACTTTTGATAATAATAATAACAACAGCTCAGAGTCTGGATCGGGTGGTGGTGAAGGGAAAGACGGGTTGCTTTGGTTCCGTGATCTAGGAAAGTACCGTGGAGGAGAATTCTCCATGGCTGTGATTCAAGCTAATCAGGTTCTTGAAGATCAGAGCCAGATCGAGTCTGGTAATTTCGGGACTTTTGTTGGGGTTTATGATGGTCATGGTGGTCCTGAAGCTGCTCGTTATGTTTGTGATAATCTCTTCAACCGTTTTCGAGGTTCGTCGAGTTATGTTTTTTTAAGTTTTGGATGAAGATTGTGTTTGGTCAATAAAAGTTAGGTTCTTTGACTTTTAATCTGTTTGGGTTTTGAACAAAGTTAGGTTCTTTGACTTTAGGGAACACTTGTAAGCTTTGTGATGGGTTTAGTTAGGGGTGATGTTTTAAAAATCGCTAGGCGGTGTTTAGACAGGCGTTTTATAGAGGATTATTGTTTAGGCGGGCGACTAAAGATATTTAAAATCAATCGCTAAGCGGTGTTTAGGCGTCTTATAGAGGATTATTGTTTAGCCGGGTGTCTAAAGATTTTTAAAATCAATCGCTAAGGGTGTTTAGGCGTTTTATAGAGGACTATTGTTTAGGCTGGCGACTAGAGATATTTTAAATCAGTTTGAGAAAATCGTTTCATTTCATATCTGATTTGCGGACTAGACCGATTTTTAGAACGGGTCATTAGCTGTTGAATTGATGAATGGAGTGTGATGAGTTTGTAGCCAACTCTTTAGGAGACTTCTCTTATGTTGGGATTTTGCTTAGGCTTTATGGTTATGCAGAGATATCAGCGGAGACGCAAGGAGTTGTGACGAGAGAGACTATAGAGAGAGCCTTTCATGCTACTGAAGAAGGGTTTGCTTCTATTGTGTCTGAGCTATGGAGTACGATGCCGAATTTAGCAACTGTTGGGACTTGTTGTTTAGTTGGAGTGATATATCAGAGTACTCTCTTTGTGGCTAGCCTTGGTGACTCACGTGTTGTTCTTGGGAAGAAAAGTAACTGTGGTGGTGGGCTCTCCGCTATTCAGCTTTCGAGTGAACATAATGCTAACAATGAGGATATTCGTTGGGAGCTTAAGGACTTGCATCCTGATGATCCGCAGATCGTTGTGTTTAGGCATGGTGTTTGGAGAGTTAAGGGCATCATCCAGGTCAGCTCTTTAGGCAATGAACATGGATTTGCTAGTGATTCATGTTAGCATAATGGGTTCAGTTTTGGTTTTATAGGTTTCGAGATCTATAGGAGACATGTACATGAAACGGCAAGAGTTTAACAGGGAGCCTATCGCTCAGAAGTTCAGGATTGCAGAGCCAATGAGGAGACCTTTGATGTCTGCAACTCCCACTATACTCTCTCATCCTCTGCATCCTAATGACTCGTTCCTCATCTTTGCATCTGATGGTCTTTGGGAACATTTGAGTAATGAAAAAGCAGTTGAGATTGTTCATAGCCATCCTCGTGCAGTAAGTTTATTTTAACATATTTCTCAGACTAATTGTTGACTTTCAGTGATTGGTAGTTTGCTCATAGAGTCAAATTGCTGAGGATAGGTTTCATATAGGAGTTGAGTCACAGTGTCCTAATAACTACAAGTGTCTGGATATAGAGTTGATTTGTTGGACTATGTCTTCTTGACTTCTTGTATTCTGGATATATAATTGATTTAGTGGACAGTGTCTTCTTGTGTTCTGGTATAGAATTTGATTTGTTGGACTGTGTCTCTTTGTTTATGGATATAAAATTGATTTGTTGGACTGTGTCCTGTTGTGTTCTCTCTCTCTGTCTTCAGGGAAGTGCAAAGAGACTGATAAAAGCGGCTCTTCAAGAGGCAGCGAGGAAAAGA